TTCATGGAAGGAGGCAGGGGGGCTTTGCATTTTCCTGTGCAAGACACGAAGGCAGGGAGCTGCAGAGACTTGGCTTTTACTTTTCCAGGTGTGGACAATTTCACTGAGGTCTCTTAGGAGGAGGCAAAGCCTGGGTTCAGCCTTTACCAACCCAGAGCTGAGTCTGGGAATGGGTGCATCACTACAACTGCTCCCGGGGAGTTGGAGAGGGAAATGTGGGATCTCTTTCAGGTCTTTGTGTAGTGGTCTAGATCCAGATGGATTTTCCTCTCTGTGCAGTTAGTCCTGTGTGAGTGTGATCTGGAGCAGAGCTACTGGCTCTGTGATGGATTCACTTTGGCTCCTCAACATGCAGATCTGGCCTCTGCTCTGGGCTGCTTGGCTCTAAGGCAGGTGGTTCTGTGGCATTTTTATGTCAGGGAGATGCTTTAAAGCCTTTGGCCTTGGAGCTGCAGAGGTGTTAAAACAACCACCTGCAGTGGCTCCAAGAGGAACTGAACCCAATCCAAAGGAAACAGGCACATCTGCATGCACAGGCTGCAGCTCAGACAGGGCTGTGGTGTTGCTTCTAGACCAGGAAAGAGCAGTTGTGAGAGCACTGGCATTTTGGAAGCATCACTTTGTGCAGGGCATGCCTTTTGTTTGGGCTGTACTGTGGCTAATCTGGTGCAAGCTCTGACTGATGCTTTTTCCACGGTGAGAGTGTTGCTGGTACCTGTCTCCTGTCTGGTTTATCTAATGTTTAATAATTCCATTCAGCTCACACAGTGGCCATTGCATCAGTGAGATTATTAAACTGAGTCTTATTTTCTGCTGCCATGTCTCTGCTTCTCTTGAATCATGGCCTCTCACCATGATAAATGTGATGGCAGTTGGCCCCCAGGATCTCAAACCAGGCTTGTCTTGGTCCTTTCTGTGCACAGCAGACCCTGTGCAGGACTATGAGACTGGCACTAAGATGGGTTTGGTGCTCAAAATGCTATTAGGACTCTTTTGGTCAAGCTTTGTCTTAGATCTCCTTTTTCCTCCTGCTCTAGAGGACCAGCCAGTGTGATTATGTTGCTGTCTTCATCAGGCAACCCATCACTGCTTAAGATATAATTGCCAAAGTAACCTCAATATAACTGGAATATCTCAAATCCTTTCTTGTCATTGGGGCTATTTGGTGCCCCACTGTGGTCACAGTCCCTTTCTGAGGTTCCATCTTCACAAACGAGCTGTGTCTGGTGAGGGAAGGGTGAGTGTGCAAAGGGGCAGTAGATTTTGGTACTTGAAGGGGATTTTATGCATTGTTGAAACTCTTCTTCCCAGTTTCGTCAGCTCCCTGGATTGCAGAGAATTAGGGATGTTTCCTCCTATGTCAGCCATGCATAAATACCAGGGACTTTCTTACTATGCAGATTTCTTAACACCATTTGAGTCTGTACAGCTCAGTAAGAGCATGGATTATGGTGACGTTAATCATGCTCTTGTAAAATACTGCTTCTGCACATCACACTTTTTGTTTGGAGGGGGCTCCTTCAGAGTATTTCTCTTTGAAGGTTTGAAGGACACATTTTTTTCCTCCGTAGCTTTTGGCTTTTGTAGAAGGACCTACCTTCCTGTATGAAATGGTTCTCTTTGCAAGGATTTGACAAGGAGGTTTCTTCTGCTTTATTTCTTGAGTGTTTCCCCTTCCTCCCGCAGCACCACAGGCATTAGCTGAGATCCCAGAGATGTATTCAGGTTATAGAATCATAGAATAGTTTAGATTGGAAGGGATCTTGAAGCTCATCTCGTGCCAAACCCCTCTCTTGGGCAGGGACACCTTCCACTATCTCAAGTTGCTCAGAGCCCCATCCAACCTGGCCTTGAACACTTCCAGGGATGGGGAGTCCACAACCTGTCTGGACAACCTGTTCCAGAGCCTCACCACTCTCTGCATAAAGAACTTCCTAATATCTAATCTAAACCTGCCCTTCTCCAGTTTAAGACCATTCCCTCTTGTCCTATCACTACATATCTTTGGAGTTTCTGGGAAGGAGCTTACAGAGTTCTCTTGGGAAGATGGATGTATTGAAATGTAGAGAAAACATGGATATCTGAACCTCATGGACCACTCCTGACTCACTGAAATTATTTAAGGCAGGAAAAAAGTGTTTTGAAAATAACAATACTAGTGGAGTTTAAGTCGCCGTGGAACAGGATCCTTTGTCCTGGACACCTTCCCATCCCATGGTTGGGCAGCCAGCTGCAGATGGGCTCTAAAAGCAGAGTTCTCCCAGCCTGTCTGCAGTAGGAGAGGTTCAGTTGAGTCTTCTCCACAAACGAAAATGTGAATTAGTGGTTGAAAGTTCAGTGCTTCAGTTCACAGGTGCTGAGTGTGATATGCCAGAGAAACACTGGCATTCCTGGAGATGGATGCTCAGGTTGGGCACCCAAGCATTAAACTGACAGCTATTCTTATTTATGCAGCTGATTTTCCTTAGTTTGAATATTCTTGTTTAACATTTTGCTTGGTCCTCCAAAGCTTTTACAGGTATCATGATGGTTCAGATTCACTTCATTACTACTAAAAATTAATGTTTGCGTTGTAGTGACTTGAGCTGTAGAACTGAGAAGGCTGATTGTGCTCTACAGGCACAGAAGAAGGTACAAATCCCTGTTTCTTAAACTTCCAGTGCAATTTATTGTCTCTCAGAGCTTTTCAGAGTCACATTATCTACACTGCAAGAGCAGAATAAAATAAAGCAAAACCTTAGAAATTAGATTTGTATGGGGAGAATAGCTCTGAAACCAACCAAAAACTGAGAATAGCTTGTTGTTTTTTTGTTTTGTTTTTTTTTTTATCTGAGTCTAAAAAGCTGAAAACAAAGTCAGAATCTGAAAACAAAGGTCACATTGGCACTTTTGGACTTCTGAAGCCTCCAATCCAGATCTGAGTGGGGAGAGGGGCACCATCTTATTTAGATTTCAAACTGTGTGCTGACAGAGAGGAAGATCTGTGAGTCGGGCACTGCTAAGACATCTCAAACTGGGCATCTGGAAATGGAAAAACCCTGAAATCTGTTGTCAACTTCGAAAATCCCATTCCCCCCCCCCCCGACTCCTGCCAGCTTTGAAAGTTTGAACTGTGTTCTTTTCATCACATTTGTCATTCCTTAGGAGTGAAGCTCTGGCATTCAAAATTTGGCTGACAACTTTGTGGGTATGAGCCAAAATCAAGTTCAACTTGCACCTTTCTATGCTGCACCCAGTACTGTTCACAGAAAGAGGCAGAAGCCTGAGCTAGAGGGACTCTGGTCTCATTCAGTACAACAATTACTACTATCTTCTCACTGATGCCAAAATTAAGCTTATTTTCTTTATCCTGATGTAGGTGGACAAGAACTGATGATGTGTACTCAACAGGAGTGTTGAGAGACAAAGTGTCATGTCTAAACCATTTCTTCTCAGGCTATTCTTCCCTCTTAAATAATGCAAGGGACATAAATCTCCTGGAAATCATGCACAGTCAGTGCTGTAAAAGACTTAGAATGGTTCCAGGCAAGTTCAAGTGTTATTTTATGGAGGCTCAAGTCCAGCACTTCATGGTTTGGTAATTTTAAATACTTTTAAATGCACTTCTAAAGTAATTTAGAACTATGAACTGGATGTATAGTTCAAATTGGTAGAACTGGCTTTTGGGGAAGGAGCAGAAGTGAGAAATGAGGTTGAGGTAAGGTCTGCTGGGCATGGCTGCAGTCTTTATCCGTGCCCAGCTGTATGGATTGCATACATGGGGGAATGGTCTTTAAACCATGTATCCAGTTTTTTATTGAGAGGAAATGTTGACATTTTCAAATGCTTGTGATTTTTCCTTTCTGTAGGTGTTGCTAAGTTAACAACATAACTATATCCCTGTTTGTTCTCTCACACATAAGTAAGATTTTTTGGGGAGAGAGTAATGTTTCCAATGTAATTTAATTCCCATTTACAGTCAGGTGGAATTAAAGTCTGAGCAAATGCACAATGCATTTGAAGAGGCATCTGTATCTCTGAAGCTGACATTTGCTGAATTATTGCCTTTTGGTGCACAACTTTTACCTGTTTCAACTGAAACTGACCCAGAATTGGAATCCTGGAGGCAACTTTTATATATTTCAGTTCAAATCTTTTAAAATTTGTGGATACATGTCCTAAAGTAACCCAAACTTACAATATTTAGCTCAGAAATTACTTAGTTTTTTCTAAATGTAACAGAAGTTCCTGATAAATTCCTAAAGTCTTTCTTGAAAGTGTATTGACTCAACAGCTGATATATGATGTTCTCAGGGGTGATTTTTCTGCTTTGTGGGGAAAGCACCTGGAGTTTCTGATTTCCTGTCAAGGAATTGAAAGTTTGCACAGTTGGTTTTTTTTTTCCCCTCAGAGGTCATTACTGAACATACAAAGAGACTTTATAAATCACACCTTAGCCTTTGTGATAAGCAGGAAACGAGCAGTTACACAAGCAGTGGCCAATTTTGAATGGGAGAGATGGAAGTGATAAGCCACCGTGTTGTAAATCACTGTCAGCGACTACAGTGGAGCAACACTTTCCCTTACTTTGGGATTTAACTGTGTGCACAGGTTGCCCAAGGGTCTGGACAACAAACCAGCTTTTCTCCTGGTCTGAATTGCAGTTGTATCCAGAGGTTTAGAGCTTTTAAACCCCAAGGAGATGTTTCTAAAATCACTGAATCACTGAATGGTTTGGGTTGGAAGGACCTTAATGACCATCTGGTTCCAACTCCCTGCCATGGGCAGGGACACCTTCCACTAGACCAGGTTGCTCAGAGCCCCATCCAACCTGGCCTTGAACACTTGAAGGGATGGGGAATCCACAGCTTCTCTGGGCAACCTGTGCCAGTGTCTCCCCCCTCTCGCAGTGAAGAATTGCTTCTTAATAAACATGGCAAGTCCTTCGCGTGGCATACACGTGGCAAGTCGTTGCAGTCTGCTCTGCTAAGCATTTCTTTTCTTTCCTCCTCTTTCCCCAGCAATCAAAGAGAAATACATGGACTGGACGGAGTTTCTCATCCACGATTTGACCGGCGCCCGGACGGCTCCTGCCAATTTGCTGGAAGGTGTATGTATTAGATTGCAGTTCCTCTCCATACGGTGTCGTGGTGTGAGTGCTCCAGCAGTGTTTGCTCCTGGTTTGTCTGTGTGCCATCTCACTGGGATCTGAGCCAGAACTGGCCAAAAGTCAGTGGCAACGTTGCCTTGACTCTGCTGGTTCTGCTTCTGACCCAGTGATGATGGGTAGTTTGTTTTGGCCTTTGAGTGGAGGGTGGTGCTTAGAAATCTGGGTACTCAAAAGAGACTGAGTGGGGAGGAGAGCACGTAGGGGACCCATAGGAAGGAGGATGCAGCCCTTCAGTGCCCCATTAGACCCACCAAACCAGTGACCTGAGCTTTCAAATCATCCCTGCCCCATCCATGGAAGTGTTCAAGGCCGGGTTGGATGGTGCCTTAAGCAAACTGGTCTAAGGGAAGGTGTTCCTGCCCATGGAACGAGATGACCTTTAAGGTCATCCAACCCAAACCATTCTGTGGTCTTGTGACACAGGTTGGAGGAGAGGGGGTTTTAGTAGGTTGATGGGGAGCACTGTCAGGTTTATGTGTATGTGGAAGGAGCTCCCCCAAGGACATTTAGCAAGGAAGCTGGGAGAGGTGGCCTCAGGCATCAGTGATCTGAAGAGCAGAAGAGTCTGTTTTTAGATGCACCCATAAAGCCAAGAGTCCAGTTTGTGCAGCATATTCAAGGGGTGACTTGCAGTTGGAGCAGCCTCAGTGTTCCTTCAGATCCTGGACCAAAATCCCACAGATTCACCTTGAAACTGTGGTACGAGAGTGCCTTTTCCATCAAGGCCTCCCCTGCTCTCAGGTGAATGCAGTGGGAGCATTTGGAGAGGTGACAGATGGTCCTGCAAGAGATCATTCTCTCTGCCCCTCTCTAGGCTGAGAGTGAAGGCATACAGGTGGTTTACCTTAGTGTAAGCACTCATTTTGCCTTTCGGGAAGCAAGTCTGCATCCAGGCACCATTTTTGATCATTTTGTCCCTGATCACTTTCACCAGCTATGGCTGCATCCCTTTTCCACGTGCCTGTGCAGTATGAGGTGCCTGGCAGGGAGAACTAATAGTTTACCATTAGGGATTCCCCTGCCCACCCCCTGCCAGTCTGAGAGATGAACAGCCCTTGCACACCCCAAATAATCCGTGTCCTGCTGCATCCCCATTCCTGGACCACTCCCAGCTGGCATATGCAAGAAGCTGATGGTGTCCAACCCCCATCTCTGGTGTATTCCAAACCTCTCCTCAGGCAGAGAAAAGAGGTAGCCCCAGGCAGAAATGCAGAGAGAGAAAACGTTGTGTTGACTTGAAACAGTTTCTGACCCTCTTCTGGTGTTTTATGTGCTCAGTACTGTCTGTGTCGTGCGATGCATGTTGGCCCCTGTTGACAGATTTGCTGTTGTTGAGTGCTGCAGATTGTTGTTACTCTGTTAAATCAATATGTAGTGCTACTTTTAAACATTTTTTTCTACATGCTGGCTATGCATATCAAGAGTTCTTGCATTATGGTAAATGTTAATATTTCATGCAAGCTGATTATTAATCTTAGCCACTCGGTTCTCATGGGGTAAGTGACAACCCCTTGGCTTAAAATTTAGCGCACAAATCAGAGAGGCAATATTCACTTTGATACTGCCAGGGATTTATTATAATAAGTTAAATCGTTACACCATCGTTTCCTATTAAAGAATGTTTTGTTGCAATGAAGCAGTTGTGTGAGAGGAAAAAAAAACAACCCACATTAAAGTGGATTTCTATTATATTATTAAATTTTGACGCTGCATTTTGCCATAAAATAATATTTGAAGAGATTATACAGATGCTTGTAGCTTACACTGTAAAGTAGCTTATAATAGCAAATATGTTGTTCTGAGAAATATCTATTAGTCATGAAGCTGGTTAAGATTGTACGTGTAATAAGGTTTTAGAAAATTTTAATTACATTTTTTATCACATTCTCATTCTGTTGCCTGCATTTTTGGATAAAGAGAGATGTATGAAAATCAGTTGCTTCTCAAAATTCTGAATATTTTTGAAATTCAACAGGAAAAGGAACTTTTTTAAAAATAAGGCTATCTCCCTGTTTTGTTTTGTAGCCACTACTAGAAAGAACCATCCTGGACTGACTCTGATTTACAGTATTAATATTTTTAAAAGTAATGTGAGAGGTTTATATTGTTTAATTAAGTAAAAGTAGGACGAACACACAGGAAAAGAAAAAAGTCCTTGTTTTCAATATATTTTGCCTTTGCTTAGCATCTCCTTTGGGTAGCAATGCTTCCAAATCTTGGGGTCTTTTTAATGCTGCTCTTAAAGCCCTGGAGTCGAGACATTGCATAAGAATTCAAACTTGCTTTTAATAAAAAATAAGAAATCTAACCAGATGTCAGAGTCACAAAACAAAAACAGAGCCCCAAAGGTGTCATTCTGTAAAGCATCTCATGGTTTTTTAATGCCTGTGGTTGGCAGCTTTGCAGGTGTAAAGTTACACCCATGTGTAAATGGTTGCAAACCCGGGATCACAGAAAATAATAAATGGAAGCAAACAACCTCAACCACTGGGATTTCTTGGGCGTGGTGGCTTGACTCAGGAAATCCTGTGGGCCTTGGCCTTTGATCCTAAGACCACTTAAGCTGATCCTAAGACCACCTGCTCTTGGCTTTGAGCCTTGGAATAACCACCACAGAGTCTTGGATCCTTGGCTGTGGGGAATAATTTACTCCCCATACCGGTAGGAATGAGATAAACCTTTTGGTGGAAAAGATGAGCACACAGAGTGAAATTTCAGGGTCATGCCCAAAGTGGTCATCTTTTAGGTAAATGGCAGGGTCCAGTCCTGTGATTGGTTCTTATCAGCTGCAATCAATGAGAACTTGGTTTGAAATCCTTTGAGTTGTCCAGGAGCATTCCAAGTGGGTGTGCCTTATGAGCTGTTCCACCTTTTATTATTCCTTTTTTTGTTGTTGTTGATGATGTCGATTGAGAAATTAGCACAACTGTTGTTTTCTGTTTTACTTCTGAATTTGCACTTGGAAGACATTGGGTAAAATAGAAGAAGAACAGACTGTTTGCTGATCGCTTGGATGATGGTGTGAAAAACAAAAATAATCTTCTGCTGTCATCTGTTTCCTTGAGAAGTCTTCAAATAAAGTTTAAAATAAGGAGTTTTGCTTCTATTCAAACAGCCTCTGCGAGGAAAAAACCCTGTAGACCTCATTACAGTTGATTCCTTAATAGAGCTGCAGGATTCCCAGAATCCCTTTCAGTACTGGATAGTTAGTGTGGTTGAAAATGTTGGAGGAAGATTACGCCTTCGCTATGTGGGATTGGAGGAGACTGAATCCTATGACCAGTGGTTGTTTTACTTGGATTGCAGACTTCGACCAGTCGGTTGGTGTCAAGAGAATAAATACAGAATGGACCCACCTGCAGGTAAAGAGCCTCCTAAAAATATTACCTTCCTTTTTGACGTTCACCGATGTTTTGAGATACTTGTGCAACCCGTTTCTGCTTCTCCAGTGTTCACATTGCTTTGTCAGTAGTTTCTGTCTGTGACACAAGTGGCACGTGAGAGCCATCTGATTCGGGTTCAAAGTGGGTCAGGTAAACTCTATTAAATTTATTTAATAAATTCGGTTTACTTCTAGCTCACTCCTGGAAGGATGCAGTGCCCATTCAAAGCAGTTTGTGCAGTTTTCCACCAAGAAGCAGAGCTGGTAGGGATAGTCCAAGGATATGTTCCTGTTTGTCCAGCCCTTTTCAGTGGTGTTTTAGGGGCCAGGTCTTTCTGGCCATAATTTAAGCATCCTGAGGGAGGCTTCACTGGGAGCCAGTCCTCTGCTGTCCTAATGAAGTCCTAGGTGATACCTCTCACCATATACTCACCATTTGCTTTCCCCTCAACCAAAGACCTCTTTCCAATATGTCTTTCCATGACCACACACATTTCTCTTGGGTATCAGTAGACCTCCATGAAATTTCCCAGGGCTGGAGAAAGTGTTTTGGGACCCTCACGGTCTCAATGCAGTCAGAAAGTGCAGTGAGGGTGCTGGGTTTGTCTGCCTGTCCGTGTGAAACTGCACATCGAGGGGTCCTCTGCTATAAGCTGAGAAAATCATGGAATCCTGGAATGGTTTGGGTTGGGAGGGACCTTAAAGATCATCTAGTTCCAACCCTCTTGCCGTGGGCAGGGACACTTTCCACTGGACCAGGTTATTCCAAGCCCGATCCAGCCTGGCATTTGAGCTGGCCATATAACCTTACTCCTTTGAGTAAGGGTAGATGGGATCCTTCAGATTTAAAATACCACAGATTTTTTTTCCCTGCATTTTCTGCAAGGAAGTGAGGTTTTTGCAAATCTGTCAGACAGTATGCAACACTGGGGGATCACAGCTTGGAGAAAAACTCTTTAGGGTTGAGTTTAGTGTTCAAACCAGCTTTAATGGGGAGGGATTGGGACTGCAGCTGAGCCAGTCTGGGATCAGAAATTGAGCCACCTTTTCCTGTGTAGGTGAACAGCTCGTGCAGGTCTGTGCCTCATTTCCATTGTGCTGTTGGTGATGTTTTACCATGAGAAATGGCAGCAGAAAGGTAGCCCTCCTTTGGGAGGATATTTCTGATGTGGCTTCTGCCCATCACACCTGGTTCAGAGAGTTCACCCCCATCCATGCAATGATCGTGCCCACAAGTTTGTCTGGGACTTGAGTCTTGAATGCTTTTTGGAAACCTGTGTTTTTCTTCACTGATAGGTAGGAATCAATGTTCCCCATCACTTCTAAATTAGATGGGAATGCAGGAGATCATGAATGTTGCTTACTCTGTAACTTTGTGTTAAAGAGGAACACTTTCCTGTTGCCTGCCTTTGAGCCCTCTTGGCCTGTATAGGTTTGGTGAATCAATAGAGAAATGGCCCTAAGGAGATTTGTGCTTCCTCTTTGTTTATTTCATTCACTTTTTACTCTTTCCTCCTTTTGTCCTTTTTTCCTCATTTTATTGTTGTGCTTCCTTCCCTATGGATTCCATACACCCCCTTCCTTTTTCTTTGCATTTTTTTTTTTTCACTTGTCTTTACACTTGTTACTAGACTCTTTATTTGCTGAAGTTAAATTTCTGTAAACCAGGGAATCCCCTCTCCTGGATTAACTGCTTTTGAAATTTCTCTCTCTTGTTCTCATCTGTCTTCATCTGATACATGTTTCCTCTCCTTGGCATTTTTCTGGTCATTCAATTTTTAGTGAGTGTTGTTATTAATGAATTCAATGCCCAGATCTTCTTCCTGACTTCCATTGGCTTAAATAGGTGGTCATTACTTCACATATCCTAAAGTTGGGTCTCATAGGAGTTTGCTGAGAAAAGACCCTTCTGGTCTGGACCCGTTTTCAAACAAGTCCTCTCCTGAACACTGCCCTTAAGGAACTTTCTTAGATTACCTCCTTCTGGTCTGTGCAGTTGTCAGACTCTGCACTGAGGGAGTAGCCAGTCAGAAATGGGAATCTGATGAGTTTCCATCAGGAATGCTGGTTTTTCCACTTCTGATATAGTGGAGTATATCAGCCATTTGATATCCACATAACATCTACATACTCATGAAGCAATGGATGAGTAAAGTGTATGAGACATTAAATCAGAGGAAGAAGAGAGAAAAATAGAGCCAAATGGCTGGTCTTGGGGGATCTGTTTCAAATTAAAGTGTCTGGAAAAGGAATCTTGGAGCAAGCAGGCAGGGAAGCAGTAGAGAGTTATGAGGACAAGATGCTGGCAGCAGAAAACACTAAAGAAACTCAAGGATGAAGCTACTACACAAACTGGCAAAGAATGCAGTTTCCTAAAGACCAGTGGCCAGGGATACATCCTTGCCTGCTTACATGCTTCCTAGTTACTTCTATGTTGACGAGGATTTGGACTAGAAAGACCTTTGTTTAAAAGACCTGGTGTGGACCTTCTTAGGAAGGAGAGAGTCTATGGGCAGTATGTTGGTTTTTACACACCAGGGATTAGTCTCACCTGCTGTAGTGTAGGCACAAAATACAGTTCAGCACGAGCAATTGCTTTCTCTTTATGATGGGTGGAGAAAAGGGGATGCTTGAGACTTGTCTGCATAGGTAAGATGAAATGACATCTTCATAAGCCTACTTTTCTTACTCGGGGTAAATTTTCAACGTCTGACTCCTTGGTTGATAACAGGAACAGCCTTAGACTGTATATCAAAGCTGTTGTGAATCTCCTCTGACAAGATGCTGAGGACATGCAGCTCCTCCCAAATCAGGCTGTGTGTTCCCTTGCTGTCAAACAAGGATGTTCAGTTATACATCAGTTCTGAGCCTCAGACAGTGCTTTGCCTGTCCTTAACTTGGATGCTGCATATCCACCCTCAACTTTACTTCCCTTTATGTCTGAGCTGTGATTTTTCCCTGTTGATCCACCTTTGGGGATATGTCAGGTTGGGTTTCATCTTACAGAGCAGTTTGAGGTCAGTCTTTTGAGATGCAGAGCATCTCAGATAGAGGAGATCCCATGGATCCAAACATATACAGTATTTTGGGTAGAGAGGTCTCCTTCCTGAAGCCATTCACTTCCTAACACCCACTTAATGTACAAGAATGTGCAAGAGGTCCTTAGGGGGTTGGAACAAGATAATCTTTAAGGTCCCTTCCAACCCAAACCATGCTGTGATTCTGGCTGTCTTCTCCAAATGGCAGCTTCCAGGGACTTTGTATGTCTCATGAGCCCATTTAACCAAAGCAAAGGGGTCATAGCTTATCTTCTCCTTCAGCTGTATATCTGAATCCCAAATAAACCTTCTTGCTAGTGAAAATTGGCAGAGGCTGCTTGACACAGAGCTGCTGATGATCTTAGCTCAGCTGTTTATGCAGGACGAGATCATCTCATTTTATGTTACTTTCTGTTTAAAGACAAATTGCCAGTTGTTTTAATTGCTCACTACTTGTTAACCTTAATACAAATTGACACAGTACGCTTGGTTCAATTACCTGCAACCCTAGCACTTAAATAAAATGCTTTATGCTCTTTTAACCGTGCAATTTAGTGTCCATATACTCGCCAGCATAAGTGATCTGCAACTAATTAAATGCGCATATGATATTCCTTGCTGGTTATTGAAAGCACTGGAGTTGCCTCTGTACTGATGTTTGTTGACACTGCTTAAAGAAGTTGCTGCTTTTTTTCCACTGATTTTGAGCACAGTTGCCCCAAATGCCACTTCTTTCTTTCCTGTGCTTCACTGCCATCACGATAGATAATGAGGGTCTGTTTCCAGCAGGGAGGCATCAGGCAGGGTTTTCCTTAAACTCAGACCTTTTGTTGGTTGAAACAACAGGCTGGCTGCAGCATGGGGCAAAATCATATTGTGTTGAGTCTTTCCCTGTTTGGCATCATTTAAACCAAAAAGAAACAGGGCGAGTCGTTCCCCTGCCTGCACTTCAAGTTGATCAGAGCTCCCTCAAGTAAGGGAGAAGTGGAGAAACAGGGCTGTAAAAATAATGAACAATTAGATAAAGAGGGCACTTCTTAACACTTGTGACCGTTGCACATGCTGCAAACAAAGGCTTGAAATCTATATTGCCATTAATAACCAGACAGCTGGGGAATTAAAAATGCTGCCCTGAAAGGTTAACATTTCCCTTTAAGGGTGTTTAAATTCATATGCATATCCTTGATGTCTGTTCTGAAGTAGGGAGATTTGATATAGTGGAAGTATAAATACATCCACTTCCAGTGAGTGATTCTGCAAATCCTGTTTTGATAAGGTCTTAAATCTGTAAAGTCCTGAGCATAAAATTCCCTTGTACCATCAGAGCAAGGTGGAAACAGTGCTTGCCAATTCCTTTTTTTTTTTGTACATATTTTTTATTTCCTCCTTCGGAATTGTAAGATACAGCAGTAAATCTTTGCTAGCTAGTAAATATGTATGGTTGTTAGATGTACAGAATTTAAATGCAAATTGGGCCAAATTGAACTGTGATGTAATTGTGTGAAGCCAAACTGGCAAAAGAAAAGCTCCACACTGTTCACTCCATATCAGGTTTATTACTGAGTAAATGTTCATTTCCATTTTAATAATTGTTGAAATCTATCTACCTATCTTGTCTCTTTAAGGCCTTGATATGAATGTTCTGCAATAACTTGTTATGTGCAAGATAACAATATGTTTTCTAGGGCAGAAGTAAATCCAGTGTAATGTTCATCACAGTATTATTTCCTACATTGTTTCCTTTGATGATTCATAGTCATTTCACTGCACTGAACCATAAAGGGCTTGTTAATATAATGATTTAATAATATTAAACCTGTGTAAAGAAACTCACTGAAAGCAATGTGAAGCTGCACAAAGATGTTGCTTAAAAGTATAATGATGGAAATTCATGAGTGTGAGTCTTTGAACTGGTGTGATGCTCTGGATTGAGCGAGGTACCAAAAAAAATGTGTCTGGGTAGAGATTTAGCTGAAATGTTTCTTCCCACACATACCTTCCCCCCACCTGCAATCCTGCAATGAAAACCAAACCAACACTTTCAATGAACACAGGAGCCTTAGTAAAGATAACGTTTGTTTTGTTCACATATAACCAATATTGGCTGAAGACCTGAGGCTCCTCAAACTAGAAACCATCAAGTGTTTTGAGAAATCAAAGGAGAGTTTTTATAATACGATTCTCGTTTCTTCTGCAGTAATTGAAGGATGTGCATTTTTCTGGGTTTCACTCCAGGATATAAAACAAAATCGTCCCTCCAGTGTGTCCCTGCTAGTTGTTTTTGTGTTGAATTTATCCATATTGTACAACTTGGAATATACACACTGTTCATTTCACTTGTACTGTCCATTTGTATGACATAAAAACTTAAGTATTTCAAAAATGTTTGATCTCTAAACAGTCACCTCTTGATTTTTTTTTATTTTTTTATTTTTTTTTTGCTTTAGATATCTATTCTCTGAAGACTATATCTGAGTGGAAATGCGCTCTGGAAAAATCCCTTAATGATGCAGCAAATTTTCCTCTTCCAATGGAAGTGTTCAAGGTAAAAGACATACATTTTTCCTTCACTTATGGAGCCCATAATGAATAAATATCATGCAATATTTAGCAGCTTATGCTAAACTTCTGCAGGAAAGGCCTTTGCTCTAATACATAACCATGAGAGGTCACAAGTAGGGTGCTTGTATAAAACACATTTTTATGCATGGACTTTCCATTCTGATAAGTGATTTCATGGTCAGTGTTTTCTAGGGGCTGGGGGTGATCAGCAGTGATTACTCCAGCATTATTTTTCATGTGTTTTATTCTGTTAGACCTGTGCAAAGACATTGTTTACAATCGTGAAGTTGTAAGGCTGCGAATATAAAAGTTGACACAAACAGGACAGATTTCTATGAGCCTTGCACCAAAATTTTCATCTGATCACAAGCCACAAGGCAGAGAAACCTCCTTCAGGGACCCGTAGTGGAAAAGGGAGATAATTTTATTTCCACATATTTTTTTCTTTTTCCCCTCACTCCGGTTTTTAATAGTTAGAGACGTGCTTCAGCCCTGAGGCACCAGCTTTAATTTCCCATCCAAATCTGCACTGCTGTTAATCATGATAGCTCCAGATAATCCTGATTTCTAGCTGTGCCTGTCTGGTTCCTAATACTTACACCCTCAGTGTGATGGGCAGCACGGCTGTGGGTACAAGAGGATGCTCAGGGAGGTGTGTGGAATCACAGCTGTGCCCCACTGTCTCCACTGTCACCTCTTACCTGGGGACCTGGTGTATCACAGTGCCCTCCCCACCATCAGTCTGAAGACCTTCTGTGTTCCTTCCCTACCCTTTAAGCAACATTGCACTGATGTACTCAAAAACATCCTGGGAATTGTTGCAGTACGTGTGTGGATGTGGCACTTGATTTAGTGGCGGCCTTGGCAGTGCTGGGTTAATGGTTGGCCTCGATCTTAGAGGGGTTTTCCAACCTAAATGATTCTCTAATTTTATATTGAAAGAAGGCACTCATCGTGCCCCATCCTGGCTTGCATGCCACCTTCACCCTTTCTGAAGGGACATGCCAGCAGCTTCCCATGAGGAATCTAGGCTCCTCACCCAGCCGAGATGCACTTAAATTAGCAACCTTAATTTGGGAATGCTTTGCTAATGGCCCAGGCAGTGGCTCACTTGCTTCCAGTGTGAAAGCTCTGCTGACTGTGTCAGCCTTGGGCTTGAATTTGGGGTTGAGGAGCCCCGTGTTGTGATGGAAATGGTGTTTGGAGAGTTTTGAGTCTCTGCCATTTATTTCATCCAGCGCCTCGATTTGCCAACTCCTATTAAAGTTTGCATTGGCAGTTTGAAGATCAAAAACACATTGTGTGGGGCAGGAATTAAAATCCCGGTAGGGAATGGCTGATGCCTGTATTTTATTCCTGTCTGTATGAAAGAGTGAAGAATATTTGTGATGAGGCTCATAAAACATCCTTTTTTAAAGAACTTTATAACTAACAGCTGTTTTGCTGCCTCTTCTCAGCATGCCAGACTTATACCCACTTATTTTAATTATTGCATGAGTGTCATAAATTAGAATTCAGCAAATCCCAGTTGCTGTGCCATGTGGTTTGAGCTTCCAAAGATGAACCTCTTAGAAGACAATGTAAAACATTGGAATGCTTGAATGGCCCAAGAGAAGAGTCACTTTTGGGCTAAATTGTGGCAAGAAGGCAGGATTAGGTCAATAGGGTTTCTTTATTTATAATGTGGAAACTGAGCACAAGATGGGCTGAATTTAGTCTTTGGTGCAGTCTGAGCCCCTGGTGCTGGGAAGGCAGGAGGCTGAATAAGTGGTTTGTGTGTGGGCATCGCTTTATTCTGCCCATGTAGGGTGAATCAACCCCATCTTGTGCATTTTAATTAAAGAGGAAAATATGAGATCTTGTCTATGCCTGTGAGCATGGCTTCCTCTAGTAATGAGTTAAGGAAGAGCTTTAGGAGACTATATGAAAGTAAACTTGACTGATCTTGCAAAATAACCCAATATTTGTGTGTGGGACCTTCAAGGAGAATCCCAGATCCTGGCAGAAAGTGTTGAATTCAAAGGTGTCTTAATAATTTCTTTTTAATTTTTTAATTTTACCTTTGCAAAGCCAGCACAGAAGTAATGTTTCTTCATGGTGCCTTGGGCTCTGTGCTACTGTAGCTGTCATGTGTTAGATGAGATATAAAACACAGAGTTTGACAGCTGGCAACTCTTAAAGACCTTCTGGAAAGATGGGAATGTTTACTTTGGCAGACATGGTAAACTGCACACCGAGGGGTTACCTTCTGCCTTTCCCACATTTCCCTGCTGAATTCCATCATTGAGGAGAGCATAGTTGTGTGCTTGGTCTACATGAGCAGTCCTGAGGGTGAGCATGTACATATTTGGCTGGGTTACAGCTTTAGCTTCTGTTGTCCTTAGAGCTGTGCATGACTGGGCAGTGACATCAAACTGGTCCCAGGAGGTGCTACTGGGAAAGCAGATTTGTGTTTGTTGTGTGAGAAGTGGCTCCTCTTCAGGGTCTGTCAGCCCACTGCTGCTGCCAGTGATGATGCTCTTTGGTTTTGGTGTTGGGTTCTGCCTTGAGAACTCATAAACCACGAATTTGAGCCTGAATTACCAGTGCTCAGAAGTGTGGCAAGGCTGAACTTGGCACGTGGTGGTCTTCAGCAGCAGATCCAAAAATCCCTTACAAAAGCACAACCCTGATGCCCCTTGGCATCCAAGGAGAGGACACCAGCCACCAGGCCACACGAGCCGGTTGTAAAAATCAGGGAGAAAGCTGCATACAGGATTTTCTTTTTTTTTTTCCTTTTTTTTTTTCCCTGGTGCTATTTTACACTTGGCCATATGTTGAAAGTGTTTGTAAAATGCTTTAGGATCCTTTGAGAAGGAACGTGATGTTCAACTGCCAGAAAATGCTGCTATTATGCAGCTACTAAACATAGTGTTTTGCAAACTGCACATCCTGGAATAATTTTTTCTCTTCACAAAAGCTTTTTTGCAGCACACCTGCTACTTTGTTGTTCCGCTCTTTTCAGAAAACATGTTGATCCTTAACAGAAAAATAAATGCAGGCAGGATTTTCAAGGGTGTCTGAATGGTTTAGGAGCACAAATCCTTCCAAAAGGACGCAGCCCAAGGAGATGTGTCCTTTGCTGTTATCTGCTTTCATTTAAGGGTGCTGTAGGGATGCCCCATGGTTGGTTAAGTACCAGTTATAAATGATGGCTTAGGCTTCAGAGGTCACCTGAGAAAATGGCCAGGGCTTTGGATAGGAAGTGTGGTCAAACCAGGGCCTGATTTCAAGTTAAATGTGACAATTTCAGTGATTTGCTTCAGTGCTGACATTGCTGGTGCTCTCTAAAAGGGAGCCATGCTCCCAACTCACCTTCTAGCCCTAATATTACGAATAAGTCGTATTTTAGAGTTATAGCCAAGTAGTTTGTGTAAGATGAATGCTGGACAGAGATCATGGGATTTAGTTTCCTAGAGAGAGGCCCACAGCGTGCTGGGGATCTTCTCAGACATCCCATTATGCTTTCTCTGATCTCCTGTGCTGTATCTGTGGGTCCTGTGCAGATGTCATGGATCCTCATGTGTCTTTCAGCTCATCTCAGACACCTCTGTTTGGGCAACTAAACCCTATCCAGGATTTGGGGTGCTCATCATCTTTCCATAGGTGTTGCATATGGGCATCCTATTCCAAATTGCCCCCAGCTGTTTTAAGTGTCTGGCCTGGATGGAGCTGTCACTCCCCACATCTCTAACCTGAACTCTGTTAAATAATTGGTGCTTAGGAGGGAAGGGTGTTATCTAAGACAGGTGGCAATTCCTGATGTATAGCCTTTTGTCTCATTCCTCTTGTCTCCACCCTCTGCTCCTCCTTGCCTAAAGTTTTTGTGTGTTTTTTCCAGCCTGAAATTTTTCTCTCTCTACCAAAAATACCTCTACACTATGCTCAGCCCCTGTGCTCCTATTTCTAACAGGAGCTTTTGGATGTTTCCTGTTATCAGTACTAATTAATGGCAAGACTAATGATATGGAAGGAATCAGTTGGGACAAATCTCTCCCAAGGAGACTGATGGAGGGACCACCCATCACCCAGGCAAGAGCTGCCCCCCTGAAATTCGTGGTGGAGTGGTGGTTCTAGTTCTACACTCTAAAGTATGAAGACAAATATTAAAAAAGATCCCTTCCCTCCCTCCAAAACATAATTTTTCCATTGGATGAATTGTGCATTTTAGTAATAAGAATGAGATTGACTATTTCTGAAGATTGATTCCCCCTCACCCCCCCCAAAAAAGGAGGACAGCATCTCTCAGATTTTAAATAAACATTTTGCGTGTTTTAGGGCTTTTTCTTCCAGTACTTGTCATTCTGGAAGAGTTCGAACCTAAGTTAGAGAAACCCAAGGGATACTTTCTGCTCAGAGACAAATCCTGACCTGGCTGTATGAACGGGCTTTTGAAGTCCAAGAGGGTTTTTTCTGCCTCCATCCGCCCCCTAATAGACAGGCACGTGCCGATGCAGCAGCTTAAAACGAACGTGCTTTTGGTTTCGCTTGGAAGCCAAATCCCAACATAAGCAATCCCGGGCTCCTTCATGCACCGGTGGCTTGGCTGGCCCTCGCTCCACACGCTGTGCTTTAATAGCCTGCGAGTCGCCATGTTGTTTGCAGGCTGCCAGATTATTTATACTCCATCTGTTCTTCCCCATCCGTGGATTTGCCAGCCCTTTTCCATGGCTGCGATTCGCCGGGCTGGGAGACGTGCGTGGTGTCCCAATCCCTCTGTTGTTCCGCTGCCTTTTGACCCACTCCTGTCTCAGCTCCTTAAAGCTGTTTCTCTTTGTAAGACCCAATCACCATCATTGGGAGAATACCACAGAGGTCCTTACAAACATAGCTACCTTCACAGCTCTTGGATTAAGGATGTCTGTGGTACCAAGGATGAGAGAATTAGTCTGGTGGTACCTCTGTGGGCCAGGGAACAGTTTTTACCTCTGAGCAGCTCCCTCC